TCGATAGCAAAACAAACTGGAGGAAACTGTTCAAGTGTCATCCTCCTTTGTAAGATTGGGGTAGCAATCAACCATAAAGCTTCCTGTGACATCATCCATCCACTGAGTGAGAGCATACAGGTCGGCCAGTCTGGTCCTGTTGGTCAGTGTTTACTTATTCAAGTAACACTCGCGGTCCCAAGAGTGAGTAACCTGACATGGTGCGTTTGTACATTCAGTCAGATGCACTACACTAAAATAAAAGCCTTGTTGGTCGAAGACACGGAGCGTTATATTTCTATATAAATCGACGTCAGTGCGCTTGGCGCTCTGCTGTTCCGTCTCCCCAGACAGAGTGCCCAGATTGTGCTCTGACACTCTGAGAGTGTGGTGCTCTGAATAACAGAACAGTACATTCAGACAGTGCTCTGAATTTACGAAAAGTCCAGTTAGTGCACTCCAACACTTGGAATGAGTATTTCTTAATGCACCACTCACATCATCTTCCGCCATTGTCTAAAACAACTCAACAGAACTTGCTAGCTAGCACTAGCTAAATTTTTGCCTCCAGCTAAGTCCCGCCCACCAAATAAAGTCATACCCTTTAACAGTAAAAGGGTCTATATTATACAAAAGGCTTCATACTAAACTAGTAAATACTTCAAGTCCAAGGGATAGGTTCAATGACATGATTTCATGAAGGATGTCCATGAGGAGTGTTCTCTAATATGTCACTTTTTTTCCATACAAACAAATACATCAAGTTAAAAATCATTTTCAACATTGTACTCTCAGCCCTCTACATCGCATCCAACATCTTGCCATGGATTGACTTCACTCCAGTGCAGAGACACACGCTTGAAGCACCTGCCAACCATCCCCAGCACAGGGAAACATTTATAGTCCCGACAACATGATTATTCTGTCTCTGCCAAGAATGTTGCAAAATAGGCTGTTGCAGCTGATGAAAAATCTCCCTTCCTAGTGATGCTGTTATTCTGAGGTGCCATCTTGCCAACTGGTTGATGTATGAAGATGTGAGGATGTCATGTCTGAGTGATGTCTGCAGACCATCCTGGACATTTAGTATGGAGAGGAGAGGAACGTGCGAGCATTATCTGTAGTGTGCCTTCTATTAGAGTAGTTAACCTTATCAGAATCCCTTTACACTTATTCACTGGAAATGATAAATCTTAAAGAGAAATTTCTGACAGTAAGTGAATTAAAGGTGGCGAGCGGAGAATTTTTTTTCACCAGTATATGTAGCTGGAGTAATGGTTGTGATGGCATATTCTAATGCTAATAAATGAGCATGATTATTACAGTCCCAGACAGTCTCCCTTTTGATCTGCTTTGTGCTTTCATTTGGTCCAATTTGGGGAGCCACAAATTTGATTCTCTGCAGAATTCTCTCAGGCGAATAGCAAACTGTTCATAGAAAGTAGCTTACAAGAGCTGTGGAGAAGAGAGAGAATTATCATTGGCAGATCTTTTGACAGTGGTACATGCAGGAAAAAGTCTGAGTTCCTCTCTATTAATCTTGAGCAGAGTTAAGACACTAAGAGTCCAGACATTTCACATAATACAGGACCATTTATTCACACTTCATATGGTTGTCTCTATTAATCACACACACACACAGAATCATCATTTGGTGATTACAAATAGACGTCTGTAATGCAATGCATTGACTCAATGAACTGATGCAACCCTTTAAGCCCTGCAGCAAATATGTAGCATATTTCCAAATGTAAAATAGTCATGAAAAGTTAAGAAAATCAACCCAGGCTGTATTTACATATAAATAAATACGAGCAGAGATAAAGGAAATCTCCAATGAGTCACATAATATGTAGGAGTAGAGAAAAACGTTCCCTCACTTTTAAGGCAAATATATGGACTTGCAGTACCTGCGGGTTTCATAGTTAATACACGGGCTTTGAAACGCTGTAATCTGGCAGACACAGTCCCATGATAGCTTCTATTTTTCTCTGTATCATCTGCCGCTGTGTTCACCGAGCCCAATGGTGAGCAATTTTCAAATCTGGGTTGTGAAAGTAATACTGTCCACTTTTGTCTTCAGAGATACGGACTCCATTTTCACACACTGTTCCCCTGTCTTTCTCTGGACTGCGAGCGTAGCGCCGAGTTGTTGACTGTTCATTAATAAAAATAAAAAAAAGAAACTCCAACTACAGAAGCTTTCATCCGTCCGCGCCGTAGTTCCTAATGAGGCAAAAGTCGAGTATAGCAATCAAAGAACAAGAGTAATTTAATAACTTTAATTGTGCCCAAAAATGGATGATTAGTTACAGAGCTGCAAGAAGACTGCAAAATAGATGATGGATGAGTTTATGGATGGTTGGTAATCTCTCTACATGAGAAGAGCTGCACCGCCACAGCTTCTCCTCCACCTCCAAGCTTTCAAAGGAAGCACTTGAGCTGACTAATGTCCCACCACTTTAACTCATCCATATGCAAATATATGCTGCAAGGTACCTCCAAAATCTAATCACATCATCTACCCTATGGAGGATGTTTGTGATGTAGGTTTGAAATCTGAAGCCATGGAAACATTGAAGTGGGATAACTGCGTGTTTGTATAAATTGGTATTTTAGCTGTATCTGGCTCTGCAGGACTGGCAGTGAAAGCATAAATGGAGCTAAATGTCTTGTCTGTTTTGTGATATTTCTGGCAGAGGGACAGAAGAGCTAACAGGGACATCTGTCAGCAATATAAAAGAACAAAGTAAGTATTAGCACTGTTTGCATAGTGGGTGTTTTTATGTCATCACAGCTATGTGAAAATACAGACACGTGTGGGGGGTAGGGCGGTCAAGATCCTGCCCTTCAAAGCATATATGCAGAGACGTTTATCGTTGCAACCCTGGAAACAGACACTCAGCTGCAGTGGCGTAAAGTAGTTACAATAGGCCAGGGTGCACACTATTGCGCACATATCGTCTCATCATATGGTCCGAGACTTGACATTGAATAACATCAACATACATATTACCCAACAATCATCATTACAATCTGTATATAACAAAAAATACCTCAGAAAATCAGAAATTATTCGTTTAATTTAACAATTTTAAAAGGTGATTTATACTTACAGAATAAGCATATACTTTGGTTGTAGATGCTGCTGACTGTTTTACAAAAAAAGAAAAAAGAAACATGATGGAGAGTTTTTTGAAAATAGGTGGCAATCACTCATAAGGGCCCCTTCTCCACCCAACACACTGTTGGAGGCTCCACTCTCTCTATGGGCCCCCCACCCCTCGGCCCACAGTGCAACCACACTGCCTTCATTTGTGTGATAGATTATGTTATGTTTATAGTATCAGAGTTACAGTGCGTCGCCTTCAAATTTAACAGATTCTCACTCCGACCTACAGTAGTCACAAATTGACGTGCTTGGTCATGGACTTTCCACGTCCACATACGACTTGCAAGGTACCCTGGGTGCGTTGGTGGTTGTTGTTGTTCTGGGACACCATGTCAAGTTCTGCCTGTTACATGCATTGCCTTCTTTCAAGAAACACTTCTGTTTCCACAGGAAATTTAACGTTAACATACATTCATTTAGTCATTCATTTTCCGTAACCACTTATCCTGTTGGAGGCCGCAGGAAACTGGAGCCTATCCCAGCTGACATTGGGCGAGAGGCGGGGTACACCCTGGACAGGTCGCCAGACTATCACAGGGCTGACACATAGAGACAGACAACCATTCACACTCACATTCACACTTACGGACGATTTAGAGTCACCAATTAACCTGCATGTCTTTGGACTGTGGGAGGAAGCTGGAGTACCCGGAGAAAACCCACGCTGACACAAGGAGAACATGTAAATTCTGCACAGAAGGGCTCCCCTATCCTGGGTTCGAACCAGGAACCCTCTTGCTGTCAGGCGACAATGCTAACCACTTTACCGCTGTCAGTCTCTTTAGACATAAATGCAAAATTTACGTTTTTTTCCCCTTCAACAACAAAAAGCGCGTGGTTGGGTTTAGGAAAAAATAATAGAGTTTGGCTTTAGAATCTTACGGGACGTCAACACCGCTCTCCCCGGTGAAAGTCAGTGTTTGTTGGACCCATCCACCACCCCTCCCACCAGCCCCAGTCGGACTTTTCACTGCCTTAACTTTCATCCTTGTCCTGCCGAGTTTCCCTCTGACACCGCAGGTGCCGTTAAACTATAATGGCAACAAGCCACGTATCTTTTTTCGTTGGAGCCGAAAATCACTGCCCAAGCGCTGGATTTCGACGACTTTGGTGTAAGACTGGGCTCTGAAATTGTGCATTAGTTATGCAACATTAGTTCAACAGTGGTCCTAACTGCTTTTACAGTGCAGTTTTTAAGAAATAAAAAAGAAGTCGCCTCAAAATACACAAGTTTCCTCATGTTAGAAATGTATTTCAAGCAAAATATTGAAGAGTTTATATGGAATTTTAAAATGATTCCTGTTCAGGATCACCCTAATTTTGTCTATGTGATTTTACTGTACAGTTTATGAGGGATTTAAAGGGAAAATCAGCTCAAATGACACTATAACAGATTCATAACTTGCTCATACTTACATACATAGTCCCTGTGGGACAGTGATTCAGTATGATGAGGTTTATTGTAAGAGTTTATGTTAAATCCTGTCTAAATATTGGTTGCTATATTCAACAGGTTATGCTGTAAATCACTGGAAATCAGTGCATGGTGTTTTAAAATATGATTCCATGTGCCCCCTTTTTTAACTCTGGGCCCCCGTCCCTGTAAAGGTCTCTGCACGGCCCTGTAAAGATGTTTAATTAAATTGGTTTGGATTGAAGTTCCGCACTCATTAGTCCTTTACACAGACATACTGCAGAAGTAGCCTTGTTATGTTGGACTGATGGCTGATGAAAGAAAACGTGGTCCATGTTACAATTACGTGCCCCAAGTGTGCGAATTTCAACACATCTCTGTATGTGTCACTTGCTGTATTTGGAAACTGCGCGTGCTGACGTCACCACGGGCGATGGTAGTTGGGGTAGGAAGAGCGGGAGGGAGGAAGGGTTCCGTTGTGAACGCGCCTGACGGATCCCCGGCGGAGGGCAGCGAGGGCGCGCATCTCTGTCCTCCGCTTGTGAAGCGACTGCAGGGGAGCCAGATGCCCGACTGTGAGCCGCTGCCTGTGGATACCTATCCCAAATGCCAGAGCAGGCGAGAGCCACAGACACATTTCAGCCTCTGACGGGGAAGAGGAAAGAATAGGGGCAGTAACCGGAGTAAGATGTTTTTTTAATATAAATATATATATATATATTTTTTTTCCTTCCCCCTCCCTCGTTGTCTCTGTTTCAATCTCTGCTTCAGATGAAGAGCTTCCTTGGACTTGGAGTACCGGGCATCAGTATTAAAAAGAGCCGTTATCCCACTCAGCCCCTGCTGCTGCGGCACTGCTGCCTGTGAGCGCGTCCTCTCATTGCATTGGAATATACAGCCTGCCTATATGCGCAAAACCATGGAGATTATATGACGTGGATTTATTATTTTTTCTAACAAAACTGGACATCTGTAAAACCGACGTCCCCTCTTCTTTTTTATTTTTATATTTTTTTCTGCATTGCCTTTTTTTGCGTTCTTCTGTTCCGTTCTTTGGTTTGATCTATGGCTACTTTATGATTTCATGTCCTTAGCGATCCCTCCTTATTTTCCATTCATTTATTTTCCACACTTATTTTGTATCTATATTTTTCTTGGTCCGTGTCGGAGACGCAGAAGTGGGATGCCTCGCAGAGAACATTTGTGGGGAGAAGAATCCGCGCAGCAGCGAGGGTGAATGAATGATAGTCTCTCCTCTCCATCTGAGACGTGCCATGGATGGGAAACTTAATTTGTATCCACGGAACCGATCGGGGAATAGCCGTCGCATCAAATAACTACTGCTGACAGCGATCAGGTAATGTATCTATCTATTAAACTCAGTATCTCTGTAGGAAACCGTTGGACTGTTTCTTTGCGCCTGCAGATCGCTTTGCAGTATGCCGGCTGATTTATTTATTTCATTCTTGAAATCCTTGTGTAAAGTGTAGTTTTAATGACGCATAGAGTCTCAGATTGACAGAAACTGGACCCTCGTTTGTACCATTATCACCAAGTGTATCTATGGGCTGCTATCCGCGGGGATGTGTGATCTGTGAACCTGAACGAAAGTGCCGGTCCCAGAAAAACCCCCCAAATACATCTCAGCAGTTGAATTACAGCCCATTAGTTGAGCACAGGTGGAAAGCAGAAGCCCCCTGAAAGCTGAATCCCTCAGCTGGAGACACAGGGAGCTGTATGATTGCCTCTAAAGCCGCTGGCAGACCTGTAACTTTGCGCAGTGGCCAAAAGAAACACACACACACATACACACACACACACTCACTCACGCACACACACAGCACATTGTGCGCACATTCCCTGCACAGACACTTTTATTTCCACCTTCCATACTGGCTCGCCTCTCTCTCAACGCATTCACATGCTCACGTCCGCCGCCTCCCCCCCTCGCCAACACACACACACACGCACAAGCACGCACAATGATGGTGTTCTCTTCTCTCTTATGGGGGTTTTCCACGATGCCATTTTGAGTTTAGGATAACATTTCTAAATTAGAGCTCCTCCACCCGCACCGGAGCTCCTGTAACAGTGCCCCTAATGGCTGGAGATGCCTCTCGGCGTGGAGGATGTCTCCTCCGTGGCCTGGTTCACGCATAGCGCCGGGTTATTGGGGCTGATGCTGATGTTTCTTCCCGCCTGTGCGCACTGTGCGCCTGGGTGAGTGGGTGCCTTCTCCGGTTGAATGCTAAAGAGCCAGGATGTACCAAAGACGCCAGTGAGCGTGCACTGGGGGGGGGGGGGGGGGGGGGGGGGGGGGGGGGGGGGGGGGGGCAGGGGGGAAGTGGGGGGGGCGCTCGCTTGACTTACATCCGTACTGGCATCTCACCCACGCAACAGAAAGCCCTTTGAAAGCTACCTGATCACGCACTGAGGTCCGGTTTATTTGTGGGCGCCTCTGACTGTGGCGTGCGTCTGCCGCAGTGCCGCTTCTTGTTACCAACCTCCTCTCAGTCTCCTCCGTGTTATTTTCACGGGAATGATAAGTATGTGGGGGCCTTTATCGAGTCTGAGGAAACGGTACCTTAGACGGTGTCCCCCCCCCACACACACACACCCTCCTCCCCGGTAGCGAGCAGGTGGCTCCGGTGACGCTGAACGAGAATGACAACCGGGACGCGACAACGGGAGTGCAAAGGAGCCTCCGAGCATCCTCTATCTCTCTGTGTGTGTCTCTCTTTTCTATCCATCTGTTGAGCATGCAGTGTGTGTGTGTGTGTGTGTGTGTGTGTGTGTGTGTGCGTGTGTGTGCTCCCTCCGCACGCTCCTCAAAACAAACTCCCATCGCTACCATCAAACCCCGTTAAATAATGGAGCGTAACACGCATGGCAGCAGCGACCTCGATTATTTTTATTCCCCAAGTAGCCATCTGTGGCATGTTGAACAATTTCCGACAATATTCTACTTATTCCAGCTCTGAGTCGAGCCAGACTCTGCTGCAGCAGCCTGTGGGTGAACTGGTGTAGGGTATTTAACAGGGACACTGATTCATGAGCAGTGACTGTCTCTTTGCTTCTTGGCACCATTTGAGATTTGGATTAACAGGTCAGATTTAGCCTGTGGCATTACTCATGTTCTGGAGAGGAAGTCCAGTGGTCATGTGATGGATTTTTAAGAAACAAAACCACAAGAAAGCTGTACATTATGACCACAGAGTAGTATTACAGGGATACTCATTTTTCATTTCCCTGCCTCCAACCTGGATGTAAGCACTGAATATCCACAACATCGCCTCCTCTTTTTTAAACGCAGTGAATAACCTCGTTTGTTTTATTTCTCGGGGCTGCTGTCGGAACTAATGGAGCCGGCAGGGCCGTGTCCCCTTTTAGCAGAGATGAGCAACCCATGGGTGATGGCTGATGAGTTGGATGTGAGGGAAGGCTCCTTCTTAACCCTGCTGTACAGAGGACAAAGGCTGGTCAGGGGAATCGGTTCAGTAGAGCTGTGGCAGAGTCTCTGGGGCTTACATTGCATCATTAGCAACCGAAAGTTTCCAGCCTGCTTGTGGTATCCATTCAAAGGATGTGTATTATGTTCATTCTGAGAACATGTGAAGCAGTGACTAATGAGCTCACAGAACATCGGTTCTTGATGCTGCATCAGTATGATCTTTTTTAAAATCTGGCCTACAGATAAAGTTCTGAGGATTTTCTGCTTTTGGTTATAATGAGGAAAAATAGATCTATAATTTTGACTCATTTTGATTAATTTACAGTCGGTAACACAATGTGCCACCCAGTAATTACCAATGAGAAAAACATACCCATGTTTTGATCCATATTTCTAACCCTTGTGTTCCTGTTGAAGAAATAAGAGACTTAAATGAGATTATGTAATTTAGTTTAAAACCATAAAACTTCTTTAATTGCTTCCTCTGCCTTAATTTAGATGATAAAAGTGCACCCAACCTACTTCATCCAGTTTTACAAATAAAAAAAGAAATCCATAAACTGCTTGTGGTATCAAGCCAAATAGTTTTGGTTTCATTTGGCCGGATTTCAAGAATTTTGTTTTTGAGGCGTCCTGGATTAAAACAAGAATCATTGCCTAACTAGACCCAAGTGCAGAAAACACACCACACATATTGATTTAACAAAACTTTCTCAACTCAATGCAAAACCAGGCATTCTGCTGCCAAAACTGTCGGGCACACTGAACTTACTAAATAACTCCGTTAGTGAGGCTGAGTGGAGGGGAGGGAGCTTGGCGTTGGTGTATCCAAGACCCAGCAACCAAGATCTGGAACACTAAGGTATACTGTATAAGGTCAGCGAGGTAAATGACAAGGCTCATTAGTCAAAGCAAATCTCCACCAATTGGATTTCTGACCAGTGAGAATGAATGTCAGGGGTTGTCCAAGTAGTGTCCAATAGTCTGAGCATCACAAACAAAACTCCATTCAGTTCGGGGTGGTCGTGGAACCTTAGAGACATGTAACTCGAAACCTGGTCAAGTCAAACCAAAGGCATACGGCTAGATATCTCTAGGGCTAAGTGAGAAAATATGTTCTTCTGTAATTTATGTATATATGGATGTTTATTGATTTTTAGAGCACAGAAAACAAGAAAACAAAGCCAGCAGGTAGAGCATAATATATGGAACAGCGTGTTGTCAAAAGTGGATACAAAAAATATGTATACAATAGGGCTGCAACTAACAATTATTTTCATTGCCGACTAATCTGTCGATTATTTCTTCAATTAGTCGACTCATCATTTTATTGAAACGTGTTAAAATGTTGAGAAATGTCAGTCTGTCTTTCCCAAACTCCAAAATTATGTCATCTAATGTCTTGTTTTGTACTCACACCAAAGGGTTTTAGATCACCGTCATGGGAGAGTGTGTAAAGCTGCCAATATTTGAACATAAGAAGCTGCTATAAGAGTACTTTGGGGTACTTTTATAGTACTTTTCTATGAAAAATGACTCAAACCGATTAGTCGACAACTTAAATAGTCACAGATTATTTTAATAGTCGATCAGTCATCGATTAGTCAACTAATATTGCAGGAGAAATATACATAGCAAGGTGGTTGTCTAAAAATGTTATTAGTCTACGCCCTGAAAGTATTCCAGTACAGAGTCTCAAATCTTATCAAACACAACACCAGAATCTCAGTCTCTCTTCTGTAATTTTTAAACTAGTTTTAAGTGACTTTTACTGACTGGACAAGTTTAAACTTTGACTGAGAACTATGCCCATTCTTTGAATTCATAAATGTTATTCCTATATGTAAGACAGTCCAAAAATAATAGCTAGCATGAGCAGCTCTCACATAAATCCAAAAGCTAGAGTGCTAAAGCTCAAATTTGTGATGTCATAGTGTATAAAGTTGGAGCTGCTCCACTGACAATAAACTGGGGAAGACGTTATAGATGAAACTGGGAGCACCCAGAGGAATGTTCTGAGTATATGGGTACATTTTCTGTTTCAGAAATAAGAACATCAGAGCAGAATAAAGCATATTTGAGATTTACTTATGTGCCTCTGGCTTTGAGAGAGAGGAGCTCCTGTTGACAAATACTGATTGAACTTTCCTGGGCCGTGGAAATAATTCACTAGAGTTCTTAATTTTGTTGGCGTTCCCCTTTAAAGGACATGGTCTGCTAGCAAAGACTTCCAGAGTCTGTAATTTGCATCATATTGGCATCTAATGTACGACTGACCAGTGTGGTTTATAGATGAAGAAAACACACCTGAACATTCGTTTTGTAAAATGCTGTCCAGAATCTGTAAGTTATTATAGTAATGAACAAACGTCCTTATTTTACTTTGTTGAATGTGAGTTCTGATGGTACATGTGTGTGAGAGAGTTCATGATTTGCAGTGATAGCCTGTAGCTTGCAAAAGAACAAACTGCCTTTGTGGCCCACAATGCTGCTTTTCATATCTCTCAGTCTCAGGGTGCAGATCTGCCATCTTATTGTTTGTGGTTTTGTGTTTTTTGTTTTTCGGCTGGAGTTGTTCCAGAAGCAGAACCCTCCGCTCTGGGTTTGTGTGCTCCTTGCCAATCTAGCCGAGGCCAGTGTCTGCGGACATCTCCAGAGATCTCTCTAGCTCTTTAGCAGGAGCCTCCTCACGGGAAGCTTCTTGAGGCTCCAGGCCGGATTTTCTCAATGAGATCAAGTGCCTTATTCACAGTCACAGTCAGATGCTTGCTGATTGCGGCAAAACCTTAGAATGACATGTTGCTAGGATGGAGAAGCTGTACATGCTGCCTAAAGCTGCTGTATAAGAGCTGATCAGTGTAGCAAGATGTCATGTTGTAGGAGAATGCAAGGTTTTCTTTGTTCAG